TAATAAAATTTAACATGAATAGTAAAAAATACCTTCATTATAATTAAAAATTGACAATTAAAAAAAAACGTCACTCTTAGGTAAATGGAAAGGTTGTGTCACGCGGATCCTAGTCAGCATCATCATGGTGCTTGACAGAAACAGGCAAACAAACCAAATGACCGGCGTATCCGGTAAAAAGGTCTTCTAAAAAGCAAAAGCAACCGTTTGATTTGACTGCCACGTGTCCCATCTTATCCTTTTCCTCCGTGCCCTTTTTATATTCTCCCCCCCTCCTCCCCCTAAACCCAGGCTAAAGGCACCCATCTCCAATTTTCAAATCTCCCCAGGAAATCCAGTGTCCAGATTCCAGACTCCCAACCCAATTTCTCTCCGAATCTACAAATCTGCAAAACCTATCCCCACAATCCCACAAATCAATCAACAGATTTGCGTTTTTAAATGTCTACCAATCTACTCACCTTTAGACCAGTTGGAATCCGCGTGTCGGCGGTTCCTGGACATCCGGCGCAGGATTCCAGCCGCCGGAAGAGCTCGTCCTCTGCCAACTGGTGGGCGCCTCTCTTTGGCGTGTCGCCGGAGCCCGACTATATTGACTCTGAGCCCCAAGAGGTTTCCAGGAAGAACCGAGATGGCGAGGCGGATCCAGAGCGGGAGCAGAAATCGGCAGGGCCTAGATTCGCCCCGGGTTGCTTCACGGAAGAGAAGGCGAGGCAGCTCCGGTTGTTGACTACGGAAACGTCGTCCTTCCACGACGCCATGTATCACTCCGCGATCGCCTCCCGGCTCGCTTCTGAGTTCAAATCTCGCCCGGATCTATGAGCCTCCGGCATCATATTTTATCTATTTTTGTCATTATCTTTTTATTTTGTTATTATATTTTCCCTTGAACAAGTAAAGATGATAACGATGTATGCCGGTTTTTAGTTGATTTTCCACATGATTAAGCAATGTAATTATTGATGTATGTAAAATCATTTAAATTTTTCCACCCGGAAGATCACTGTATTAAGGAAATATAATTATCAAAATAAATAAATAAATCAATTAGTAATTTTCTTTTGCACTTGGGTCGAAGGGCAATGGCATCCGGCTACGGATAAGTGCATTCCTACTCCAAGTCAAAGGTTCGAATCTTATCTCTGTAAATTTGTTAAAAAAAAAAATTAGTAATTTTCTTTTAGTTTGTTCTGGTCCCACTGTATCCAACCGTCGAGATTAGCTGTTTATGAGGCTTATAACGAATCAGGAGCGCTAGCCCATGGTACACGGAATATGGTCCACGTTGCGGAACGTGTATTTTGGATATTGCGTTCGGATCCTGGAATTTTTCAAATAGTTGGAATTGGAAGTATCCAATACGAATATGCTCCTGAGTTTGGTATCTTGAAGTCCTTGTGGTTTATCTCGTCAATCAAAACCAACACCCTTGTTTGGCTTCATGCCATACTATTCTCTTGCAAGTTGGACGACGTCTCCTCCTCGAAACTTAGGAGTCTCGTGTTCTAACCACTTAAAAGACATCTCCTTTGAGAACTAGAAGTTACATTTTGTAAACTTTTGCCGGCTACTTCTAAAGAACACCAGAGAAACTCAAGCAAAAGCTTTAATGTCCCAGAAGAGTTTGATACACGGGTTTCCTGAACACTTGCATATCCAACTTGTTCTTTGTTTCCACTCCCTTCCATCTAAATCAGAACTGCTGTCCTCCAGACTCAACCAGAAAATTCAAACATCATTTGAATAACAAGGAATAACTATTATACCAAGGTTACTACAATGATTCTGCCATTATTCATTATCAAATTCATAGTGCCTACAATGATTCTGCAATTATTCATTATCAAATTCATAGTGCCAATCAGCATCATATAAAACATGCATGTGTAATGAACATCTTTCTTGCTGATTAATCTCAACACATTGTTCCACTTCGATACTGGTGGTCACGTTTTCTACAAAATTGCTTCCCAATGAACAGTTGCAAACCAGTCCAGCATTTAAAGTGTATGATACTATGACAATCAAACATCCATTGGCAATGGTCCAAAAATTGGAATCAATTGATTTGTAATTTTATTAATCTTGAAATTAAAATCATAACTATGCAACCCTTAAATCTTTGACTCAAAAAGTACAGCCATCATTCCATAATAACGGGAATGACAGCAGAAGATATGAAAACCAAGAAAAACTTCAAAAGAGATGTAATCAGATTTCTTGGGCTGTACTCCACAACTTCACTTGCTCTCGATATCATATTGATCAGTTCTGAATATATATTAAGGAGAAGAAACAAAGAGTTACTAATAGCATAATTAGAAGACAGCAGAATAAGATAGCTTGCCAAAAATAAGTCAATAAGTGAAGGACAATGGCACTGCATATAACAGTATGCACATTCCTCCCTGATCACTTAAGTCAAGATGATAAAAACTATCCAAAAGAAAGCAAGTTTTTTTTTTTTTTGGCTGAAATAAAAGATAGCAAGTCTAGTTCATTAACAATGAAGACAAAGAGCTACAAGTTTACTAGTTCAAATTCCAATCACCAAAACATCTGATACAAAAACCTTGTGCATCCTCTCATCACACAATATGGTCAACTTGAAACACGTTTTTTTTAGTGATGTAAAACCTTGGAAGAGTTGCATGAATTACGCCTGTCCCTGAAGCACAGATTATTTACAAAAGAAAAGAAACATGTTTAAGATCAAGGTTTTCATTTTCTAGGAGCCTAATACTCTCACAGAGAACCTGGCCCTTGCCACTAGTGTGAGTTGATTGTGGATTTGAAAATGGATTTGCATTTGTGGCTTCATGCAAATAAATTTGCAACATCTAAATGATGATAATGAGAGATGTCATGTAACTTTAGACTAGAAAAATGAGGTTCAGAAGTAAAAACTAATTATTGAATAAATTAGTGAGCTAACAGAACCATTTCAATTCATAACACAATTAATTAATCATATACATATCCTATTCCTACCAGCATATCTTTCAGGCACAAAAACATTGCACAAAAACATTGCACAATTACATATTCACATGTGATCCTATTTTTAATAGTTACTAGTGTATCTCACAAACCTTGCACATTCACATGTGATAAACTTCTCCCTTATCCTCTACTTGTTAGTTCCCAAGGCTAAGAAAAGATTTTCCTTGAAACAATTTTTTACAAAAAAGTGTGATGCTATATAAGGAAGAATACTTGTACTCCTGCCTATTCTAGATGGCATATTATATTCATACCCAAAGAATACATGTTTAACATCAAAATTTTCTATTTCTTGTATTATGAAGGAATAAATTGTGAACAAGAAGATACGCATAATGTAAAAACCCTTAATTTAAACAAAAAAATCAAACAAATGTGGTTGTAACTAAACCAAAAATAAAAGAGTTACAATTTCCAATAGTCAAGTCTTAAGGAAGGAAATGAGGCATGGAACAAAAAATACTTGTATCACTACCAAGTTGAAAACAAAGCATCAATTTCTTGACTATATAAACTTTAAGACATGAATCTATAAATGGAAACACTGCCATACTATGGTTATTTCTTATCTACAGTTTAGTGAGTGGGCAGATATTCTCCAAATGCTTCCCCCATTACAGCTTGCACACGTTAACACAAAAAACCAATATACATAATTGACAGTAACAACACTTGGTTCTGTGAATGTTTAAAACTTAAAATAATTGCATGTTAAAGTTGAAGCAGGCACTTCAAATGCACAGACAATTCGTACTTGGCTCCAGTGCTAGTTCAATTTCAATGCACATAATTGATTGAGAAAGAATTGATCGAGAAGGTGCTTCAGTTTTAAAACATGTGGGAAACCATCTCCCTTAGTGTTTCATACAAATGACAACATCCACCAATTCCTCAGTCCCAAAAGAAAAGAATGGTTGCACAACTGAACAACGGGATAACCTCTAACTAAAGTGCTGATATCTGTGCCATGAAGAGAGCATGACTCACAAAAAGGCAAAGATATAATGTACCTATAACTAACGTATAGAGCTACTCACATTTGAACATCATGCACATGTAATGCTAAATTACAGTCAATAAACTGTAAATTAACAACAAACAATTTTTAAAGGTAACATTTGACTAGGCACAAAGCAAACGAGATTCAGACAATATAAGTTGAATAAGAATCTACAATTTTCATAAAACTAGAGCATATCTGCAAAATAACAATAACAAGAAAGAAACAGTGAAGTTGTGGAATGAATAAAACAGGATTAAAAAGGATACACCAAATAAAGGCCGTGCGCAAAACCCCCAGCCAAGACAAGCGTAAACAAACGGTCCCTCAGAACTGGATTCTTCCTCAAACCAAGTCGAACTGAAAAACCATCAAAAACCAACATAGGATTAACATCCTAATCACAGAACCCAGATGGTAAAATCACGAAAAAAACACAGAGAGATGCAGATTGAAAGACAACAAAATTAACAACACATGAAGCAAAATACTTACTTAGAGGGAGGACAGGAGCGTAAATGAGAGGAACTAGGAACTTGAAAGGAGGCCCCTTTTGCTGTTTCCTATGGGCCCTAAAAATAAATTAAATTGAACACAAAATTGAAACAATTGCGGGTCAATTTTAAGCATTGAGGAGAAACACTGATGCAGAGAAAAGATAAGCTTACAATTGCGAGGGATCGGACGGCGAAGCCATAGCAGGATCGGAAGAATTATCTGGCGATCTGGGGTTGTTTGGTCGATGTCTTGGTGGCGCGTTTTCCTGAAATCGATCTGGCTTTGTTTTTTCCTTGGCGGCGGCGCTGCCTCGAACTCAATGGAGGATTTATTCTAAACGAGTCCAAAATTTTTCAGGATTGTTGAATGCATCCCACCCCGACTAACTTTTCAAAATTGGGTTCTGAAATTTCTTTTATTACCAGTTTGGTCATGGAATTAATTGATTGTTTCAAATAAACCATTGCACTTGTGAAATCACACCGAACTTAATATGTATATATATATATATATATATAGATATGAAGGCCATTGCTTTATAGTTTGAATTGTTTTAGACCGTAAAATAAAAATCCTTGGATGAAAAGAAAGATCTAATATTAAATAGCATTATCTCTCATTTAAGGGTTTCTGTTTTATAGGTTGAACAATTTTTTGATATATATATATATATATGCAATTTTTTTTCCTTTTTAAGTTGCACAATAGAAAAGAGCTTTTTGAATTATAAAATAGTTTTTTGATATATAGTTTTTTTTTTACCTTTTTAAGTTATATAATAGAAAACAACTTTATCATTTTTTAACTCACTATGCTCATATGCCTACTATTCAAACCTAAAACCTCTTTTTTTTTTGGACAAAGATAAGTGTTGTATAAATCCACATCATGTTTAGGATAGTAATATCCTATTCCAAGCATACTTGGAATTGTATACGCAAGATAATAAATCAAAATCAGAAAACTAGTATCACTCACTCATTACCAAGCTATCATCAAATAACATTTCAATCTAACATGTTGCAAAATTGTATTGGTTTTAGCATGCTCATAACAACTTTCCCTAATAGTAATCCTACTGTTATGCTCCATCCAAATGAAACAAATCGTAGTAGCAAAGGCAACATGCCCCAATCTACTTCAAGCGTTTCTCCCCTTGCTAATCCTTAAGTACCAACTACATTCTAGGGACCACTATGCAAGTTATCTTACCATATTCCAAGAGTTCAAAACTATTTGCCAAACTAGCTTACTGTAAACTACTTGCTGAACTCATGTAGTAGCTACATTCATTTCTCTTTTCCTCATGTTATCCTTGGTTTTTAATTTGTTTAGAATTATGAGTTGTTGGGTTTTAGAGGGTGCAGTGGAAGCAAAATTTAAAAAATTCTCATTCGACTTATTTAGAATCCTTAAGGATCCATTGATTAAGGTTTAGTGATCATTACCTCAAAGATGTGTGCCTCTTTGATATGTAGCTATAATTCACAACCTTTTGCATGAAGCCTTCAAAACCTAAAGTAGAACTTCCCTAATGGTATCCACATATGCACTAATGAAATTAACTAAAAACTAGAATCCTTTAGTCACTAGTGCTAGTTTTGAGAAATGTTAGTTTGTTCTTCACTTATGGTAGTAATTCTTAGTAGCCTAAACTTTTACAATGAACAATATAAGAGAATTGTGTTTTCTACCCATATTTATCATTACAAACTTGTTGCCTTATAGTGATGGTCAAAATCCATTGGCATAGTCCAAATATCCATTAGTACGGACCTAATTGACTACATCGACGGAAGAAATTTCCATCAGTATAGATCATGTTAGTACATGTCTCTACTGACACAAATTGTTGTCACTATAAACCTTAGGGCCTATACTAACGAATTGTTTAGGCCATCCTGATTGCCCAGTTTCTATACTGGTAGCAAAGATATATTGACAAATAAGGCATTAGTATATGCCTAATGTCTATACTATCAATATATTTATATAGCCGAAAAGTTAAAAATTAATTGGGTCTATATTCATTGCTTCTTCCATCTGTATAGGTTTTTTTTAAAAAAAAATAATAAATAATTAAAAGATGTTGCTGTCTCCTACTATCTTCATTGCTACCCAAAAATAATGGTAATGATTGCAATAGCTAATTATGCCTCAAGAGTAAAGAACTCAATTAACATAATGAAACTAAAGCTTAAAACTAAAGAATACACTTGAATTTTAAAACTTCAAATTTCAAGCACACACCTAAACAAAGTGAGAATCATTATGTAAATGCTCAAACAAATTCCAAAGCTTCATAAATAATGCACTTGAATTCGACAAAACTACATTATGCAAGAGGAATCCAACTAAAGCTCAATTCTATATATCATGCACTTAACATTTTGTTATCTACAAAAACTCTCACTAAGAAACACTTAAAAGCAAAAAAGACAAGGCCATAAATTCACAAAAAATGTAGTCACCAGAAAACTAATGGATAGTACTGCTACAAAATTAGTGCTGGCAAATTTTCTTCATCAGGTTAAGAAAGGACATTAAAGCTAAAAAAGAGATGCCATGAAGTCACAACCTATTAAAGCAAATATATAATTGCATCTTACATGTTCAAGTTGGTAAACAATTAGGTAATTTGTTTTTCAATTCCCATATAAAACAATCTCAAGTAACACAACACATCAAAACAACATATAGAGAACAAACCACACTAAGCTCCCTAAAACAAGGAGGCTCATCTTTGCAGCAACTAACACCAAATTAGACCAAGTTATAGTAGTTTTCTAAAATTTTTAAGGCTTCACCCCAAGTAAAACATACGAGTGCTGGAAGATAATTGGTTATACAAACCATAAACACTTAGACATCAATTTTACACTACACCTAACTTTCATAATATGGATTTCCATAACGATATTACCAATGTTGAAAATGAAAGCACAAAACTTAGTTGAATTGATGTTACATAATATGAAACTAAATCAAACACAACACAAAAGTCACTTAGCTACACTTTAGGCCATGTTTAGGCAATATGACCAAATACAGAAAATAAAATCACATATCAAATCATAATTATATGACCAAACACAGAAAATCAAAGTACAAAACCCACTTGGATTGTTGCATAATTGCACAAAACCAAACCCAACAAGTAGACAACTTATTTAGCTACAGTTTAGCCATTTCAATGTAACAATTTAGGCATTCTAAAAAGGTAAAATAAAAATGAAAATTTGAACACCAAAGCTTCTCTTAATGCAAGTGTTTAGGCATTCAAAAACCCATATGCCAATATGGACGGCACAACTTATCTCAATGCAACAGGTTAAGCATTCAAAAAAGGCAAAAGTAAAAATGACAATTTGACATAAAAGCTATATTAAAAAAACTTAGCTACTGTATTTGCCATAGTTAAAATATTCAAGAACAAGCTTACCAAAAAAAAAAAAAAAAACAAAATGCAACTAATTTACAAAAACCATGTACATAAAGAATTGCAAAGCAGCTCATTTTCCTTTCTAAGTTATCAAGTCCTCCTAATCAACTGAATTAACACAACTTATTAGTTATAAATTTCTCATCAACATATGTAACAATTATTTATAATTAATATAAATCCTATGGGCTACCAACCTTGCTTGTGACTGTTTAAAGTAGCTAGCGCTTACAATTTCAATCTATGTTACCATTTTCTAGAGGTGTGGATCAACTTGATTTTGGAGAGCAATATGCAAGTGGAGAAGCATTAGGACCACTTCTAGCATTTGAGACCTTTCATTAAAGATAAATGATTTCATGAATATATTAAAAACAATAAAATAAAACCAAATTAATATATTAATAAAAAATGGAAATTATAAATAGCCACAATATAAGAAGTATAGTTTCAATGAAAATACCTTTAGACGGTCTACATTTATCTATCATTAATCTCAAACACTTCCGCTTAGACATCTTTTCTACTAAAAATGCAAAAAGAAGAAGCCATTAATTGATAGATCATCATTTAAATACTAAAGTATAATAAAACAAAGAGTAGTAGCTAGGCAACTAGTAGCTGAAACAAAGAACAAGTCAATAAGTTGAATCAAAATAATGATTATTAAATAAAAAAAATACTTAAGAAAGAGATAAAGCACTTATTAGACACAACATTCTTTATGGAACCTAAAATTAGCATACATACTAAAGTAAACAAATACTAAAAATTAGTAGATAATAAAGAGATTGAAGAATGACCTTCTACATCAACCAAATTAACCTTTCGAAGCAACCAAATTGCTAAAAGGTTCAAAATGAAGCAAAATTAAACAAAAAAAAAAAAATTGCAAATCAAATAGGAAACCACACAATTTGCTTCTAAATGCATTGCATGTACTTGTAGTATAGTATAAAAATTTTCCCAAAATTAATCTTCAAACTCATCTGTAAAATTGTAGTTGTATTTTTTCTTTTTGGCAATCAAACAAAAACATTTCATATATGTTTAAAATAGAGTACATAGACTGTAGTTGATGTCTTACTTCAAAATTAATACCCTTCAACTAAGCGGTTGTAGCATAGCTTTAGGCATTGAATCCACGAGGAAGCTATATTAAATCAACAAAAAAAGTTGTTACAACAAGAAATTAAATTAAAAGATGATTTCTAAAATTAAGAATAAAAATATGTAAATAAAAAATGATAATTATAAAGGATTGAAAACAATATTATGATGAACAAGACTTCAGAATTCACTTAATCGATTTGTTTAACTGGTATAAATTATGATTCCTATTTATATTTATTACTCAATTGCATGTTTCACATCCCAAACAAACATTCGGAAGATTTAACTTTGAAGACCAATAATAATAACTAATGTATTTATTTTGAGAGAAATTAATTTCAATGAAGAACAAACTGATTTGTCATTACGAGCTATCCAAGAGCGACAATATATCTAATTGACAATATTACAATAAAGAATCAACTTACAAAACAAATATATCAATCAATTATATTCTAACAAATTCACATAAAAAGAGCATGACTAATCTTATATGAAATCTGATGAATATAATTTTGAGGGATTTCAAATGTAAAAAATAATTAATAATCTCTTAAAAATAAAATTAAACAATAAAATTTATGAAGTAATCAAAATAAAATAATAAGTTAAACTCCTCAATTACTCAATTAAGATTCTTCCTAGTGTTGTTGAAAGTTTAGTTGCATTTCGACATAATTCTCTAGCCTTGGAAAAAAAGAAGAAAATAGAAGCTTAGGAGTAACCTCTCTCTTGATGCTAAACCTAGTTTTAAAGGCTTCTATTTATATTGAGAATAGAATAGGAGTGTTTGGTAACTGGGATAATACCCTTGGGGAATTAATTTAATTTAATTTTTTCTTTCTGCACAGTCTTGTCGGACAGGGGTTGGAACCTTAACGAGGGTGCGAAACCCCTGATGCTTCTGTTTTGTTCAACACTGCCCAGATGTTGGAACCTGATATAGGTTGCGGAACCCTTGATGTTATTGGAAATCCTTTTGCACTGCAAGTCACGGCAACTTCATGGACTTTGGTCTTAATGAAAAATGGAGAAATTTCACTTGAGCCTTCAAACTTCTAGATTTATCCTTGGATCCTCATCTTTTTAGCTCTTCACATTTAAGTCCTTTTCTTCTAATTGTTCTCCATTTAACATCAAACCTTTAATCATCACAAAATTTGCACAACATGAATAAAATGAACACTTATGAAATTATTTGTAGGAAAATACAACTCTTAAGCCCATAATTCCACAAATGTCAATTGTTAAGCACATTTTAAATATACATTTTCATGCTTTCATTAGTAGTTGTTCATTTACAAAAATGATCAATAAATTAGCAAAAAGTAAAAAATCATGATGAAATTTAAGAGAAAAAAGCATATCAAAAGCAAATTCTTTCCTACAGTAAATTTCCTCGTTTAAATCTTTGCACAATAAAGAAAGAAAAAGCATAACTTTAAACTTCTTTGATTTTCTCTAAGTGCACTTGTTTTCAAAGGAGCTAAGCAATAAGCACCATATAAAACCATACATACTACCTTGTTTTTGAGTTAAAGTAGATTGGGGTAAAATTTAAGCATTTGAATGATAGGGAGAAATAATTTTTTTTTCAAGCAAAAGATGTCCCTACAATAATAATAAGGATGCTGATTGGTGCACACCCGGTGTTGACCCGGGTGTGCACCCCCACATAGAAAAAAAAAAAAAAGACCAGTTGGGGTTGGGTTTTTTTTTTTTCAATGGGAGAGTGTGCACACCCGGGTGTTGACCCGGGTGTGCACATATCTTTATCCTAATAATAATAATAATAATAATAATAAAGAATATAAATATAGAAAAGTCTCAAAAACAAAAACAATATAAAAATACCCTTTCTTATGGAATATTTAAGAAATATGCATATCTACCCTAGCCATAAAGCATAATTCAAAATGGAAAGAAAAGAAAGACAATACAAATCCATCGTTAATCAATAATGCAAAGAAATAAGAAACTAAAAGAAGAAGAAGTCATGTTGTTTCTAAAATGCTCAAGAATAGAACTAGGCTTTCCTTAATCAAGAACTAACTAAATACCTCAAAATCAAATAACAAAAAGAATAGAAATTTTGTACCCCATGGAAACTCTAAAATCCATACTCTTCTCTCAGTCACTCACTTATTTCAACTAGCAAATTACAAGAAAAAGCACAAAATTTTAAACCTTAGCTCGCAAAATGAACACAAATTAGCAAGTGAAACATGAAGAATCAAGAGAGGAGAACAAACAAATACCTAAATGAGAAATTTGAGTCAAATCTAGAGAACAACCCATTAGATATTTGCAAACTCCATTGATGTCGGAGTGTGATGGAAGAAATTGGGGTTTGAGAGTGTCGCATCTTTGAATACATTCAAATTAAGGGGTGATGAAATAAACTAGATTGGGGTTTAAATGTGAGAATGGTGGAGGAAACTTTTTGAAATTAGAGAAGGTGAAAATGGTTAGAACATGTAAGTGGGGACAAATAGATAGTTTTGTAAGAGTCTTTATATTATAGTTCAGTGGGTTTGAGTTTTCAATGCAACTGAAAATGATGGAAGGAAGGTTTTGCATTTAAGTAAAATTTAGGGTTATACTAACAAACCTTTTATTATTATTTTTTGTTCAACAAGTCTACACTGACAAATTATATCCCTCCATCAATATATTTTGACAAAAAGTCATGTCCAAGTCACCCTCCACAAAATTATATGGATAGATATTGATGGCTTCCAATTTCCATATGTATAAAGTGTAATATTTCAACTGATATAGAGAATCAACAACCTATGATTGCCTATATTGACAATAAAAGAAATGTTGGTATAGATATCTGTCAATACATGACAGTTTTTTTGTAGTGATTAATACGTATTAAGAAGACAATAGTAATTTTAATCCAATTAGAATTACATCAAATAAACTTAGTCTTTAAATCAAAGTAGAAAGCATGAAAGGAGAAGACTTTTTCTTCCTTTTTCCTCTCCTTTTATTGCACAACCTATAGTCCACATGGGACTAGGATCCTAGCTAGGGCATCCTTGTCTTTAGTGTTGCCTAACCCTTAGTCTCATGTGGGATAAGATTTAACCCACTTGGTAAAGGATGACTTACACTGATGTCATGAATGAAGTCCTACTACTAACATTTGCATGCAGTATTCTTATAGCAAGTTAGTTTGATGAGCCATCTTCTTTTAGTCACTCACATGTGATACATGGATTTCATGAGAAGTAGTCTTGCTAGCTAGTAAAATCTCACACATGTTAGTCTTGATATTAATCCATGTTCCATCTTGATAATGTATGCGACTAATGGACAAGCTAAAAACATTGTTATCACATCATGCATTTCTCACTAATAGTAATATTCGTTATTACTTTTTGATGCAACACACATTGTAAAAATTTTATCAATATTTAATATATGTAGAATAATAAGAACTAATGTTAGATGAAGAATATCATAAATATTATTTATACAAACATAATAATTATAAGTACATAAATGATGCCAAATTAGTTGACTTGTAAGGCACACTCTAACATGAGTAAAGTTGTCAAGGAATAATACCTCTGCCTCAAACAGCTCTAAACCATGGCACATGTTGCTTCGTTCTCCTTATCACCTCATAAAAACTATACATTTTGAAAAAAGAATACCTTATTCTTACTTAATTTTCAAACAATAGAGTCTTCACCAATCTCCTCCACAATACAAAGGAGCTTTCTACAAAAACTAGAAAAAACAAACCATTGTCCCTTTTGCCACCAATCCCAAATTTACAATGTCCTTCCCCAACAACCCATATCTGCCCTTTAATCCAAAATCTCACAAAGACTTTCATTTCTAAGTCATCTGTAATAGAATAATGAGGTTTTCTATCTCTTAATTGCATAATAATGTAAGGCATAACATCCTTTCTAGCCTTCAACAATTTCTTCTATCACCATGAGCTTTTTGATATGTTTGCACTCTATAGGCTAACACCTTAAATAAATGGAATTAAGCCACCTAGTCCACATGGAGTGTTTTTTATTTGTACATAGTTCCCATGGTAGCTTTCCTACTACAACCTTGTTCTATACTCAATACTTGTTTCAAGCCAAGCCTTCATATTCTGAAGTAAGCACATGTTGCCCCATGACATGGAAGAGTAATCCTAGATGCCATTTGACACAAAATTCTTCCAATAAACATCGATTCAATCTAATACTTTTCTAGGTATGTGTTTACACCATAGATTGCAAAATTTTAAGATGATGCCACGTGTCAAAAATTTTTAATGGATGGAAGAGATTTAGCCATGTCAGATATGCAATTCTAGATCTTATAACATATTAGTTGCCACATTGAAAAGAATGAGGAAAAAAGATTAGATTTTGTCTTTTAATTACATTTTTTAGTCAAATTGGGTCTATTTTAATTGAAATCTCCTAAATTTCAGTTATGGGTGTGGATTATCAGATAAGAGAACATGTG